TCACTGGGCTAAGGGAGGGAGTTTTCACGTACGATGACAGTTTAATATCCAATAAATAAACGACAACAATCTATAGATTCAGGCAATACATACTATCTACAATGCTATGTGTGATTCACTACTTAATAACGAGTACTAACATAGTTATTCTTTTTATTTAACTATTTACATGGCCATTAATAAAATTTGATTCAATTAGCTTAATTCGATAAATTTTTATTGCATGTGTATTATATAATAACGAAAAATAAATATTTTGTAATACTTAGTTTCACTATATAGCTTACTATACACATGCTTTAAAAACAAATACTATTTATTATTAAGGCATGTTTATGCTAAGTTATAAACAAATAGCATGTCTATAGTATAGTTTACTATGCCGCAATACACAAATAACTTTTGTGCCGTAAATAGTGAACTACAATTTTATGGTTTATTTGTGCCATAAACCAATAACAGTGGAACTTGAAAATTTTAAAAATCTTTACAAATCCACCGTTAATATATAACCTAGTATCTAGTAAATTGTATATAGCCATTGTTTCGTAGTAGGATAATAAGAGATGGTTAGAAAATTTATGTTTGTATTAAATATCAATTTTAACAAATGAAAAAACTTTTTAGCACTATATGTAATTTAGTTGAGGTGAATTTCATAGTGCCCGTAAGTCTGATCCGAGATACACAAGCCAGCAAAGCATGAGTTTCATAGATTTAATAATTTTAGGACTAATTTTGGTAGAAAACAACATAAATTATTGGCTTCATATACTATTGACGTTTATGAAATTAAGAGTTCAACCATTTTACCACAACTTCTTAAAACTTTTTTTAATTTAAATCATATTTAATGGATTTTTTTCTTTAGTTCAGACAAATGGCTTACCGCTATCTTCAACTTACTTTTTTGTCTTTTGAATTGGCAATAGAAATGTTTAGACCAGACATACTATGCGGTTTGGTTTGTTAACGACACGTTACTTTTTTTAAAACATGGACAACGTGAAGCAATCGTTTGTCAATGTTTAAAAACAACATTGACAACGTAATGCAATCGATTAGAAATCTGAAACAATTCATCAATATGACTAAGATTTTGCTTATTTGATTGCCTAAACAATTAAAATTGACAAATCCATGTATAAATTCATGAATCGAAAACATCTTAAATAAAAAAAGAAGCATGATGACAGATAAATGTTTATACTTTACATGATTTTGGATTTTTAAAATCAACAGTATAAATTTTTGAAATTTGATGTTATTTTTGAAAAAAGTCAGAATTTTTATTTATATATAAAATCAAATACATCCATTTTTAACAAATCAAAATATGAAGTATGGATTAACAAACATCTTTAAGGTTTTAGATTCTTTTCAATAAAACCCTTAGTTATGAGATTTATTCATTAAAATCCTTACGTTGAGAATTTTTTTTATAAATAATTTTGTTGAAGGATCTAAAATAGATAAAATGATACTTTAAAAAAAAAAATCA